GTTTAGGGTAAGGGTTTAGGGTTCAGGGTTTAGGGTTAGGGTTGAAGGTTTTCAGTTAAGGGCTGAGAGCTTTTTTTGGGTTCGGGGTTGAGGGCTTTAGGGTCTAGGGCTGAGGGTTTGAGGCGTGTGTATAAGTCTCCCGATAGCAGTTTCCATTTTCTTTTTCATTATCCCTAAATAATCCCAATAGAATCCCATATATCCTCTATAGAATCTGGATATAATGTTTGAGGAAGTTGCTTGGAGGGATCCTGGCAACTCCTCACGCAGAGAAAGCAGGGTAAAAATCCGAATAGCTAGTTGGCCGAACCTCAGCCCTAGGGTTTGGGGCCTAAGGTCTAGGGTTAGCCCTATCCCAAACACAACATTCCCACACCCTAAACCCTACAAAGCCCGAAAGCCAAAACGCACACAAACTCTGAAACCAAGATTCAATGAAGCTAAGTCCGCGCCGCAGGCGGCGCAGTAGAACCGGGTCCTCTGCAAACCTGGGTGTAGGGTTGAAGGGTCAGGCTTTGGGGTTTCGGGTTTAGAGCTTTAGGACCCTAGACCCTAGGGTTCAGGGCGTGGGGGTTTAGAATTTGTGGGCTTAGGTGGCCATCGCGTCCGTAATAATAACACCCATGCACATGCAACTAAATCATCCCATAATTGTACAGTTCGGGTTCAGCGTAGTTGGGTTTAGGCCATATGTCTTGAGGAAGATGCTTATCATCATAACGGGAGTGATTGATTGTTGAGGGGCAGCAGTACGCCCTGATTTGAACTGGTTTCTTCCCAAATACAAACTGCTTTGATTGCTGAGCCATGCAAGATGACGTTCTTCTTCTAGGAGGAAGTAAGGAAGAGGAGAATACACTCTTACTCTATATTGGGAAGCCTAGTACCCCAATACACGTACCCTTCAACTATTGCGGAAAAGACTTCTACAGTCCCCCCAAATTGGACACGGAACATATACAACCACCAATATTGCCAATATTCCTCGAATTGTGTAAATTATTGCATAACAACTACTAAACCCTAAAACCCTAAACCAGGCAGCAGCAGATCTTCTGACCGTCCTTTTAGCTTGCTGCGGGTGATCGCAACATCGTGAAGCATGAGGCCATTGGGAAAGCCTAGCAGTGACACTCGGGAGGAACTGGGGTTTAGGGATTAGGGTTTAGGGATTAGGGTTTAGGGTACTGACCCCCTACTGACCAACCCCCCCCCCCCCGCATTAAAGGTATTATGTTATGAATATAATGGTACTAAGTGGGGGGGGCAGTATCGAAGGGATAAGCACCTCTAGGTCTTATTTGGCGGTATCTATGGGGACCAGGGATGTATTGGGAATCACAAGCGATTCACGGGATACTCGGTCAAGGTAAACACCCTAACAAGGGATATATTTGGGGAAGGCCTACAGAGGGTATGTAGCCCTCCGACAAACTGACATGGATACAGTCTTCCTGAATGGGGCTTTACGGATTCCACATTGGTTGAAGGGAAGGTGCATTTTGGGTGCTTTTTAACAACATCCAGAAATTCAGGGAGGGGCGCCGTCAAATTCTTATGTTGCTACTAAACGCAGACACCAGTAATGAACCCTGCCTCACTGCCTGATAATCAAAGTGTACCATACATGAATATGTAGTTCCCTCATAATAAAGGGTACTGTATTGGCAGGCTCGCATCAGGGAACATGAGGGGTAGAGAGCAATTCTTCTTGAACAAACTACTCATCCGGCCTGGCATAGATGTTGAGATGCGGCGGCTCACCAAATGCACGGCCAGACAGTTCTGCACCCATCGCCACATTTCGGTGCAGGCCGTCATGCGCCGAAGCGGATCCGCATTTTTATTGGCTTGGGCACATGGGAAAATGATAGCCCGTGTCCACATCAGAACATCTTCAAATGTCGCCCCCCTGTGAGGAAGCAGTGTCTCCGAGAGAATCTAGGTCCTAAGTCCTAATCCCCTCAGCATCATGCACATGTTGTGCCTACATAATCCTGAAACAGGCTACTTGCTAATCCCCAATATTCTCCCTGAAGTATTTTGGTATAAGTATTGTACTGCGGATGACAATCAAGAAAGGGATTTCGTCTTCAGGAACCCTGCATCAAATCCATACTTGTCCACAACAATTTGGAAGCAACGCATGCTTCGCTGAGAATAAAACCATCCACAAGCCCTCGGAACTTGATGGTTGTTAGTAGAGAATGATCGAATGCTTCCCTACAGTAGCCCCCATATATTGGGTACTGCCCCCCACCCTGTAGCAGTCTATGTTAATTAGGGGTCGCATTGAGGGCTACATATAACTATATTCTTAATATCATCCAGCTGCTACGGAAGGGGGGGGAGTACCAAACCTACAGAAGTCTCTT